CTGAATTCCTGCTTCTATTAAGAATCAGCATAGCATAACAAAAAACGCTTCAGCTATGACATCAGACACCTGGGTTCAAATCCATCTTTGTCATTTACCAGATATATAACCTAGTCATGTACCCTCTCTAAGCCTGTAAATGGCACCTGTGAATGGCAATTACCTGTAAATGGTAATAATATTGTCATTTCAGGGTTACTGTAAAGAATGAAAGACCATAAACACAAATGGCCTGGGTTCATAAAAGATGCTCAGTTAAGACAATCAATGAAGTTTAACTTCCTTAAGTTCAATGATTACCTAGGTTTAGTTGTGTAGTTTAGGGAAAGTTACTTCACCTTCCTGTGCCTCAGTTTCCTCATTTGTAAAATAAACATAACAACAAGTTGCTCTGTGGTTTAAGTGAGTTGGTATATATGAAGTGCTCAGAACAATGTCTGGCATATAGTAAGCACTATGTAGTTTTCATGTAGCAAATTGTAATTCACTGTTTGTGTGTTAGTGGTGAAATCAGGGAGGCAGAAAACCTGGAATTCAGTACCCCCCGTACTGGGCGAACTTGTGGAAGTCACTTCTCTGCCATCAATTTCCTTTTCTGCAAAAGAGGGAGTTCACTAGACCATCTCTGTTGAGCAGGCACATTTTAAGATTCTATACCTAAACCTCTCTGTGAGATGTAAGAACTTGAGAAGGCTTTCTGGTTTGCAGATAATTTTGAGACGCTAAGTTCTCACAGATATGTCAAAAACCTTCCTATTGATTCACACCAAGAACTCTGCCTCTGTCTCAGATTTTCTGCAGAGTGGTTGGTCTGTTTACTTTTCACTAAGATATGTTCCTCTGTCAGCCACATCAGAGCTGTCATAAGCCAGCTTCATGGCAGGGAGAGAAGGAAAGCCAGTGTTTTTATCTGTCTGCTACACCATGACTTACTTCCTTTGGGATCCCTTCTCAGAAAGGTCAAAACAATTCTGCAACTGCCATCATGGAGAATGCCAGCTGATTGAAGAAGCAGGCCCTTGTAAACAGCGCTACCTGCTGGTGGGAGGCCCCAACTGGAGTTGCGTCAGGCCAGACTCATCCTCCAGCTGAGGGTGGCGGATGCTGGTCACTCCCTTTGTGCCCTAGCCAGAGCACGTTACAAACACCAAGCTGAAGGCTGTGGTGAAGGAAGGACAGTGATTAACCAAAGCATGATGGGAAATCCAGGAGGGCAAAGAAGGAGTGACATGTTGTTTATGTCCCTTCCCCTACAGAAGGGACACCTACTCTCTTAACCAATGCAAGGGATGTTAAAAAAAGGCTGCTTCCACTTCTTTTATTTGTTTCTGCCCCCTTTGCCTTTTAATTTGCTTTTCCCAAATGTAGAAGAGTAAGTATCTGAGCGTCAGACTCAGGCATTCGGCAGGCTGTATTTACTACCAGGCAAAGTTATGAGTCTCAAAGACAGAGTCTCCGGAACCACCCTTCTTTCCTCTTCCTTTGCCCAGGCTCAGCAAGCTCTCTTCTGTTTCTTGCTCCAAGTAAGAAATGTGTGAGTGTCAAGGTCAATAAGGAAGAGCTGGCAAACAGAGAGAAAAACACCTCATCGTAACAGCAGATCAATTCACTGGGTTCCACGATGTGGTGGTCACAATGTACATCCTGAACAACTTTTCCAAATGATCGAATCATTGATTTGCTTCACTGCCCATTGGAAAGAGTGAGGTAGAACTTCGTCCTACCTTGAATTGAAAAGGGGTTCTTATCACTCCTGCCAAAGCTATGCTGCATTGCATAACATTTCAACCGGAGTGAGCTAAGCCTTCCATTGACTTTATTTTGCACCCTGTGCAACTAGAACTAATCATAACATCTCCAAGTTAGAAAGAAAGTTTTTAAAAATATCCCACCAAATTCTTTATAATTTTCTTCATTTGACTTTCTCTACTACATTTTTTGCCTGTGGTCCTATAGTTTCCACTTGAACATTTCCAGCAATAAAAACGCACTCTTACAAACAGATTATTCTGTTTTTGAACAGGTTGATTGAAAAATGCTTTTTTTTTTTTTACTTCTTTGTAACCTCCTCTTGAAATTCTGTTTTTCTCACTTTTGGAGTCAGACTAAATAAATTGTAATTGTAATACCTTTTCCTATGACAGTGCTTTAAATACTCAAATACTTCTTAGACTAGCTTATGCTGTAGTAATCGCATGGTTGAAAACAATAGACTTATTTCTTGTATACACATATGACCATCATGGGTCATCTGGGACCTCTACATTACCCTCACTTAGGGACTCAGATTGACAGAGCAGCTACTTTTAGGAATGTTGGTGATCACCAAACTAGGAGGAGTGATAAAACATGCAAATCCAGCTCCAGCTCTTCAAGCTTCCACCTGAAAGTGACTCAAGTATTTCCTATTTGTATTTCATTAGCCAATACGTGTCACAAGGCCACAGCCAAACATACAGGGACAAAGAAATATAACCCTACCATGTGATTGGAAGGAAAACTACAAGTATTTAGTCACGGCACTAAAAGCAGACTTTACAAGCTCAAGGGTGATTTTTTGAATTAAAAGAATTTGCAAACCTTCACGTGATAGTAATTTCCTTTTGGCATCTCCCAATTGAGTAAACATATAACTAATTACCAACAAGTTAGTGTAAGTTGAGTAGTGCTTATAACTAAATTTTTACTGTAATTCTCCAACTTTCTGGGATCAAACTTTTTTTAAATTCTAAGTAAAATAACTTGAATTCTAATTTCATGTCATTGCAGAAGCTGAAAGCCCTTTACAGTATTTCTTTGGAGTCCCACTCCTAGGGTTCACCTGTCAAACTCTCCCTTCACAGCCCTGCTCCCCACTCAAGTCTCAGTCACTGTCGTGCATCTCATGCTGCTCTCTGGTCTGCTTATCCCCACAGCATGGACACAGCCCCTCTCCTTTATTCTCCAAGTCACCATCAGTGTAATGCTGTTGCAGGTAGCAGATTTACTGGAGTCTCGTGGTTAATAGGAGGGGGGCAAGTCAGAGAGGCATGTAGAAGAGAGATACATCGTAAATAACCCGACCTTGAAAATTAGACATCACAGTTTCCAAAATTCTCTACCTGTCTCTCACCTCCTCCCACCCCAAATCTGGGTCCGTGTTCAGCCTTCTGATGAAGCCTGCCCTAATTTCTTCTCAACCCTCACTTCTGGGTCTCACCTTTGTGTCTCTAGTTACCAAAGAGAAAATTCAACTTGACCATTACTTTTTTTAGTAGAGCAACTTAGCTCTTTTTATCTTAACCTTTTCCGTTCTGATTTATTCTAATGCATTCTTTTTCCTAACCAAAAGTCTTCTTCATATTTTCTAGGCAAAATAACTAGCTAACAAAATCCTCCACATTTAAAAAGAGAGAAGTGGAGAATATAGTTTTTCTCTAAGAAGTCTCAAAAAAAAAGTCTTTGTAAATGCTTTTTATCCCTACCAACTCCATAATAGAGAAACCTTAAAGTACTGCAAACATGGATCATAAAGAGTGAATTTGGGAATGCTGAGGGAGTCAGATCATGAAAGATCTTGGAAGACCTATTAACCTATGCACATTTTAATTTTAAGCAGGGAATTAATGTAACTAATGGGTTATAGGGGATAGAGTAGTACAAGAAAGGCAACGCAAGGAGACAAGCTGGGAGACTGCTGGAGTAATGCAGGTGAGAAGGAGCAGTGAGAGTGGAGAGAAGTGCTGGAGTTGGGCCATATTTGGGAGACAGAATGGAGAGGACCCAATGTGGAAGGGTGAGGGGAGAGAGAAATAGTGGGAATGATGCCCAGTTTTCTGTTTGTAGCAACTGGATGCATGTTGGTGTGATTCACAGTGACAGAAAATAAATGAGTAGGAATAAATTTAGGGGGAACACTATGTTTCATTTTGGACATATTTTATTACACATCTGTGGGGCATCCCACAGAATCTGGGAATAGATTTACAAATCAGATTTTTCAAGGCAACATGGGCCATTGAGATCTGTATCCTGAGGAAGGACCAGGTTGCCTGTTAGAACCCAGATATTCCAAAGAGAACCTCTGAGTGAAAGTCTCCCTTTGCTGCCCTCATCTTATTTGAGGCCTGGGACTTCTTTGCTGCAAACCATTGGCTTAAAGATGTAGAAGTGATATCTAAAGACCCTAGTCCAACCTCTACCCTGGGAAAAAAAAACAAAAAACGGACAACCTTCTGTTCACCGAGACATGTGACCAAGCAGAGGGATTGCTGCTGATCTAATCTAGTCACTCTACAAAGTGTCACTTGGGGGTTCAGAATTTAGCCTTAGCATTGTTAAAAGGAGCCCTCTTGTCAGAAGCAAATGCTCTCATCCTGTGTGTGATGGGTGGGTGATATTTACCAGTGCCACTTCTGTCACCATCTTCCATCCATCTTTTGTGTGAGTACATTAAAGATTTCACTCTTTTGCCTTCTTACTCTCTTTTGTTGGCATTGTTCTTTTGCCTTCAGAAAAAAATAATAGAAAAATGTGATTAATGTGGCCCCATGCTAATCATTAAACAGAAGCTGCCATTGTGGAAGCTACAGACAGGGACTCGGGCATCTGGTTCTGGCTGTCAACCAGGGAGGCTGTCTGCTATGGGGACAAGAGCCATGGAATTAGGGGCAGGACACCTGCCTTCAAGCCCCAGGTTTTCACTCACTCGATGGTACCTTCAGCACATTGCTTATCTTCTTTGGGTCTTCCTGACATTATCTTAAAAATGGGCATATTATTGCAGTCACTGCTGCATCACAGGACTGTTTGGAGATCTTAGCAAAAAGGCCAAGTAAAGGGCTCTAGGAACCTAAGGAATATTACATCCTACGTGCTGCAATCCCAGACTCCTGGGCTTTTGTTCCAGACCAAACTTCTTTCATCCACTCCTCCTTATAGAGTTCACACTGCCTTCAGCTGCTGTGGATGCATTCTTAATTTTTAAAAAGTAATAATAATTCTTTTCTCTTCTCTTGCAGTGCATAGTATGGGACTGGGACTCCAACGGCAAACATGACTTCATTGGAGAATTCACCTCAACATTCAAGGAGATGAGAGGAGCATTGGAAGGGAAACAGGTACATGACAAACCACTTGTGGTTTTGCCCTGGATGTTCTCTATCATGCATCCTTGGCACCCAGCTACAAATAAAACAGAAGCAAAACATCAATGTATGATTAAGTGTAATGAGAATGGAGCATGGTGGCATTTGAGTGCCTAGATTCTAGAGCTACATCGTAGCTCTAGTCCTATATCAAAGAACTAGCCCAACCCAAAGCAGTTATGTGACCTTGGACAAGACACTGCCTCCAAATACTACAGTGTCTCCATCAGTAAAATGCAAAGCTTAGATGATAATATTTCTAAATTTTTTTAGCTGTCTAGGCTTGGAAAAATACCTAATCTCTCTGTGCCTCGCTTTTCTCACCTAAAACATGAGGGTGATAATTGTACCTACCTCATAATTTTGTGAAGATTAGATGGAACAATCCATGATATAACTAGCAGAGCAACTACCACATAGCTAGCACTCCCAAAATAACTGCTATTGGTAGTGGTATTCTTCCCAGTCCTACATTTCCATGACTTGCCGACATTCATAACACACTTAACCCTTTGGAGAAATGACTTGAATCCTCCAAATTTTTATCATGGGCACTGGCTTTTCATCTATTTCTACCATTTTACTCTTACACACTTGATACCAAGGCAAGTACCCAAACACTACTGCATGCCACAGAGACATATTGCACCACATGGAAACCTAAATTTCCCTTCTGTGTTTCCCACGGACATGCACACTTTCATATATCAATATATCAGTCAGTTACTGTCATCTGATCCTAACAATGCTGCTTCTCCTTTTACCAGTTCAATTTGTCCAGCAGCACCCAGCAGCCTGGCCACATTGAAGGACTCAACTTCTTCCTGAGCAGGTTCTCATTCTGAGACCCTTCTTGTTGCAGGTGCAGTGGGAGTGCATCAATCCCAAGTACAAAGCCAAGAAGAAGAATTATAAGAACTCAGGCGTTGTGATTTTGAATCAGTGTAAGGTATGTACACAGCCTTCTCTTCCCTGAGTATGAAGCTAGGGCTGACTGGGAGGAAGAATTCAGGTGATGTGGTCAGAGGAAAAGAGCGTCAAATAGATGTGATCTTTTAAAAATAAAAATCAAATATTCAATGTGTTAAGGGACATAAAATGATAAATGTAAAAGGTTGGGTGGTTTTGGAGCTGTGGCAGCCCAATGCCACCGTCCTCTCCTCTGGGATAGTCCTACCCCCAAAGACAGGAGAGTTCTGGTCACAGGTCAGGATCTTCTCTGCCCAGGGCAGCACCAGAGGGGGATTTCCAAATGGGGTTCTAGAACACCTACTATGTGCCTTTCATAGTGCCCAGTGCTTTAAATGTAGTACCTTACTCATGCTGAAAGGATTCCATAAAAACAAGACAATGAGAGAAGATTACAGGGCCTAGAATTTCCTACCAAAGGAGCTACAACTTTGCAGGGAATCACACATCCTAATAATTAAAGCGTTTAAATCACGTCTGAGACTAATTCTGCCACTAGTTGAATATTTACTGTGTGAGAGTAACTACAATAAACGCTGTTTAATTCTTATCATAAACCTGAGATTTCTACTTTCAAATGAGGTAATATAACTAGCTCAGAGTCACACGATTAGTAAATTTAAGAGCTGAGATTTTAACCCATGTCTGTCTGACTTCACCACACAGGACTAAAATGTCATCCATATTATATATATATAATAAATGTCATATATATAATATATATAATAAACACACACATATACATACAATATATATATGTCCATATATGTGCTTATATATTCATACATATATATATATATATATATATATAGGCATACATCAGAGAGATTTTGGGTTTAGTTCCACCACAATAAAGTGAGTCACACAAACTTTTTGCTTTTCCAGTGCATACAAAAGTTATGTTTATACTACACTGCAGCCTATTAAATATGCAATAGCATTATGTCTAAAAAAAGTATATGCCTAAATTAAAAAATAATTTATTGCTAAAAAATGCTAACAATCATCTGAGCCTTCAGCAAATTGTAATCTTTTTGCACTAGTAGAGGATGTTGACTTGATGTTCATGGGTGCTGATGATTGATCAGAGTGGTGGGTTGCTGAAGGTTGTGGTGGCTGGAGCAATTTTTAAAAAACACCAACAGTGAAGTTTGCTGCATTGATTGACTCCTTCTTTCATGAAAGATTTCTTTGTAGCATGTGATGCAATTTGATTGCATTTTACCTACAGTAGAATTTCTCTCAAAGTGGAGTCAATCCTCTCAAACCCTGACATTGCTTTAGCAACTAAGTTTATGGAATATTCTAAATCCTTTGTTGTCATTTCAACAATTTTCACAACATCTTCACCAGGGGTAGATTCTATCTTGAGAAACCACTTTCTTTGCTTATCCACGAGAAGCTACTTCTCATCCACTCAAGTTTTATCATAAGATTGCCCAATTCAGTCACATCTTCAGGCTCCACTTCTAACCCTAGTTCTCTTGCTATTTCCACCACATCTGCATTCTCCACTGAAGTCTTGAACCCATCAAAGTCATCCATAAGGGTTGAAATTGACTTCTTCCAAACTCCTCTTAATGTTCATATATTGACCTTCTCCCATGGATCATGAATGTTCTTTTTTTTTTTTTTTTTTTTGAGACAGAGTCTCGCTTTCTTGCCTAGGCTAGAGTGAGTGCCGTGGCGTCAGCCTAGCTCACAGCAACCTCAAACTCCTGGGCTCAAGCGATCCTCCTGCCTCAGCCTCCCGAGTAGCTGGGACTACAGGCACAAGCCACCATGCCCGGCTGATTTTTATATATATATATATTAGTTGGCCAATTAATTTCTTTCTATTTTTATGGTAGAGACGGGGTCTCGCTCAGGCTGGTTTTGAACTCCTGACCTTGAGCAATCCGCCCGCCTCGGCCTCCCAGAGTGCTAGGATTACAGGCGTGAGCCACCGCGCGGCCATGAATGTTCTTAATGGCATCTAGAATCCTGAATCCTTTACAGAAGGTTCTCAATTTACTACCACTCAAAGCATCGCCATAAGGAATCCAGGAGCAGGCACTAATAGAGAGCCAAGTGAACATCAACACTGAGAAAAGTCTGCCAATAGATGTATGCCACCTGGAGGTGGTACCTAGAGAGACTAACACAGGATTTGAGGGGTCAGTCTCTGAGAAGCTTCTCTGAGCATTAGATGGAATCTGAGAAGCAAAGGTCAAAAATCACAGTTACTGGCTACCTAGGTAGAAGGATCCTGACTATAAGCTCTATGACTATAAGTACCATGTCTGTTTCTCTAATCACTGTATTCATAGCATCTAGTGCATAGTGGGTGTTCAATAAATACTTGTTGAATAGATGAATATTACCAAGAGCCAAACAGCAGAATCATAAAGAAGCAGAATCTAAGACAAGAAGTCAGTAAAGAATATGAGAACACAGATGGTAGCAGTTGGCAGAAAGCAATTCCTATAACTGACTTCCAGCATAGAGGTCAAAGGGATGGACTATGTAGTCCAGACTTGTATCATTTGAGTCTCAACTCTACCATTAATTGGAGTTGTTATTGTAACCTCAGTTTCCTCATCTATAAAATGGGTACAATAATAATAACTGTATTACATTCATAGGGTAGTTCCAAAAATAAAATGAGATAAAAGACATTAAGTAGTTGGCATACAGTAACTTAATAAATGTTAGTCATTGTTATTCATGGCACAGTAGGGGTCTAACTAACTAGAAATTATCAGTAAGTTACCATCCCAGGTAATTGTGATCTCGGAGCTACCAATCTAGATTATCTGTGTATTAAAGAATGTTACCAAGACTGGGACCTAGACACAGGGAAGCAAGACTGAAGTCAGATGTGTGACATTATTGATTTCAAAGCAGTAATGACCTTTGAAAATATAGTTTAAGTTTCACCCCAGAGGCAGAACCGATTAAAATCATGTATAAACCAAAAGAGAGGGGAGCAGGGGGTGGATATTGGCAGCCCGCACAGGCCCATGTGTATTGGCGTTGCTTTCTTTCTCTCCTTTAACAGAACGGACCCATCTCTTTCCTACAGATGCCTTTCTGCTCTTCCCTCTGGCTTACCAGCCTGTTCCCAAAGTTTAGCCCTCCGGTATATCGGGAAACAGACCATGCTGTTATTAACCCAGTCTCCTCTCCTCCTCCTATACAGATCCACAAGATGCACTCTTTCTTGGACTACATCATGGGTGGCTGCCAAATCCAGTTTACAGTAAGTTGTTTTCATGTTTGTTCTGACACAGGGAGCAAGGAATGGAGAATGGTGTTGGGTTTGGTGCATTAGGAGACAAAAGTTTACTTAAACCTTGGATCAGCTTTGTTCTAGTCTCATTGCTGAAATATTGTATGGTATCATGTTTTTAAAGTGAGTTTATACTCCTGTTTTCTCCAGTGAGTATGGTGTTTAGCATCATGTCAGGAAATTTATGCTACTCAACCTCTTAATGCTTCCCATTTCTTCAGCCACTATGTGAGGCATGAGGCAGTGTGCAGATTGCCAGACTTCATCACCTGGTGAGAGGGAGGAGAAGGAAGTGAGACATGCTAATAAGTTCCACTGAGCCCAGGCAGATACCTTGGTTGTGTTCATGTGACCAGTCATACCCAATGGTCAGCAGCAAGGGTGAGCCACCCAAACAGTTCATCAGGCAATCAGAAGGCAAACTCCAAAGAGTGAGGCACAGGTTGAAATCAAGGTTGAGAAGTAGAGTGGGTATCTAGATTCAGTGGTGAATCGAGGATCATCTCCTATATGTAATCTGTATTCCCCTGGGATTTACACACTTGCAATGTGTATTTGAGTGGGTAAATTGGATCTTTTGAAAGTGCCCAGGAAAGTCAAGATTGTGAGTCCATCTGCCTTTGAACAACTTGCTTTCACTGACTTGATATTCAAAATCCTCCCAGGTTAAGGCAGCTGTTACCTACAGAAAGAGAATCCCCAGATAGCAAAAGATAGATATACTAAAATACATGAGAAAACAATATAGATGCAAATAAGAGAGATGCAATTTGTACAGCATTTGTTTCTCATCTTACAGAAGTGTGATCATGAAGCTCAGCCCTGTTTAGCTCTATAGACTGACTCAGCTATATGAGGAAAGGTAGAAAAATAGGCTTAATTCTTTAGTCCAGCTGTGGGCCCAAGAGAGTAGATTGGATCATGTGTTCCTGGAATCAGTGATAGTGGTGCTGAAAGGACTCAAAGGGAGAGTCACAAGGGAATGAGACAAGAGGTGATTTGATAGACCAGCTTCTCCCTAGTTAGGGGCTTGTCCTCTACTCTAATCTCAGAGAGACCCACCTATACCCTGCCTAACCCGAACACATACAGGAGTAATTATAGAGTTTGGTCACTTCTTTAAAGCCTGAGATTCTCTAATGACACTGCCACCTAGTCCTCTCACATGCATACACACATACAGAAGGCAGCAAGCATGTTGATTGTGGGCACACACCCCTGACTCACTGCTGCCCTGGGTGTACATGAGTGGAAGCAGGGAAGCAATGTCATAAGGGAGAGCTACTGGAAATAGTTTCCCAAGATCTTAGGCAAAAAAAAAAAAAAAGTTATTTCAGAAAACTATTTATAAGTTTTCAAGGAAAAGCCCTATTGATTTCAGTCTGTTTTAGATTTTGTAGATTCAATGCTCTTGAACAACCCTTTATTCAACCTTCAGGGTCTTGCTTTGCCCTTGGTGTTGTGCTGCAAAGAATCAGCCCCAGTGACAGAGTTTAACCCCTGCCAGCATTCCCAGCACCACATCCTGACCCTCAGATGTCCCTATGACCTGCCTGACACAGGAAGATTGCTGTCCCCACTTTGTTCTCCCCTCTTTTCTCACTTTTCTGACCTTCCCCAACTGGGAGGTACCACCTTGGTGTTGGCCACCAGCAACACCCCAGCCCCAGCTTCTCATCCCCTTTGGTGTCCAGCGATAGACCTGTGGAGGGCGTGAGTGAGGAGGGCAGTCTGGAGCAAGGAATGAGAAGAGGAGAAGAATTCTGAGGACAAGGGGACAGGGTGTCAACAGTTCTTGTCACAAAGCCTTTCTTCCTGCAGGGTTTCAGTTTAGGGACTCAGAAGAGAATTGCTAGGTGCTCCACTCTGAGCATTCCATTAAAGGAATGGAATCATACCAGGTCACTTCATTGTAATTTTCCTCCAAAATTAAGTCAGCTTTCTCATTATACATTTTTTATTACTCAAGCAGTGCAATCTAATGTAAATTATGAGCTGTAATGCAAACTGTTAATAAAATTGTAAATGTCTTATTTAATTTGGTCTATAAGTATTTACTATCTGCCCAGTAATTTTATTGCAACCATCTGGCAACATGAGAAGGAAGTAGCAAAGAGATGAGAAGAGAGGAGATAAGGGCTTCCTAGCTTGGAGATGGGCAGAGGACAGAGGGCAAAGGGGTGTTTTATTGCAGTAATTACACCTCTGAGCCTTCCAGAGGCAAAAACCCCCATTGGTACATAATGTGACCCATGGCTCCTGAGCCAGCCCAGGAGCTTTGGCCAAGACAAACTTTCTCTCTTTCTTGAGAAAGACCTTCAGGTTCTAGAGGTGACAAAGTTCTGGATGCTCTCCATTTCCTCCTCCAGATCCACTCTTCATCCTTCTCTAGTTCCCCCTTCTGTGCCTCAGGAGGCCACGCTCTTTGGATGTACTATCCAGGGTCTTCTGCTCTTGGCTTTTGGTTGAGTTTGACCACTGGGAGGTACCAGTCAGAGATCAAAGAATAGGAGGAGAGAGAACTTGGAGTACTTATTCCCTAGCTCTCAGCCTGCCAGGCTGAGGTTTAGCGGTGACCTTGTTCTTCTATAGAAGGTCAGAGCTTCCATCTGGTACCCTGTCCTGCAGGTACTCCTCTTACTGAGTTCTAGTAACCTGCCCCTTCCCACTCTTTTTGGTCAGTTTCCCTTAACCTTTTCCATATGTTTGTGAATTGTTTCTTTATTAAACTTTCCTCAATCACCTCTTTTGAGTGGACTTTTTGTTTCCTGTAGAGACTCTACCAATACACATCATAAGCAGGACAAGGAGAAAGCCTCTGTATCGTCCATGGATGTGGGTGCTTCTGGCTCACCCTTAAGAGTGTTAAAGATGGGGCATCTTCCCTTTCAGGTGCCAGGCTGCTCAAAATACTTTTGTTGAATTGTAATAAATTGAACCCTAAACCTTCAAAGGGAGGTAAGTTTTAGAGAAAAAGAACAAATTGGATGAATAAATAGGATATGAGGTTCTTACTTTAAAAAGCAACCCTCCTCCCCAATGAATTTGAGTATTTATGAACTCGTATATTCTAATGATAAATGCCAAAAACCTGAGCTGAGTCAATGTTAAGAAACAGGATGTATTTAGGAGAGTTCTGGGGAAGCAGTTTGGGGTCAGAACTTGGAGGGCTTTTAACATTGAGGTTAACTTGGTAGATAATGCAATGTTCAAAAGGAGAATGAACAGAGCATTGAAGAAACGGGCATATGCCTTAGAAAAGTAAATCTGAGAGTATTTGGTAAAATGCATTGATCGTGGTAAAGCGAGAATGAAAGATGATGCAAGAAGAGATGAAAGCCCACTGCAACAGTCCTGGTGACAGGTTAAAAAGAGGCTAAAGGAGAGTGGCAGCAGCAGGAAGAGGCACTGTGGGGAGAGTGGCAATAAGCCTCTGCCTAGGATACAATGAGAAGACTGAAAGCAAAGTAGGGTGTTGAGTCCATTATTATCCAATCTTTTGTACCTGACTGACAGAGCATGGTAGTCTTGTTCATGGAAATATGCAAGTCAAGAGGAGCTGCAGGCAGGATGATGAACTTGTTTTGGGACATGTTGGAAGTACTTCCAGGTATCCCAGTGGAGATGACCTAGGTTTCAGGAGAGAGGCAGGAGCTACACGTACAGTGTGTGGATGATATGACCCAAGAGAAGAATACAGAAGGAAAGGGACATGATAATGAGAAATTATAGGAGACCTCCATCTGGCAGCAGGGGAAACAGGGCCAAGCAGTAAGAGGTGCTCCAGGAGAAGAAGGTCCAGGAAGAGGCAGTAACTCAGATGCTCAGGAGGAAAAGATTAAGGTTAAGATCAAGGGCAACAATCCCAAATGCTAAAGAGAAGTCAGAGAGTGAAGAATAACAAACAATGACTGGGTTATGTAACGAGGAGGCATGTGCCATCTTTGAAAGAACGATTTCAGCAGAATGAGATGGGGAAACCCAGGAGTTAGAATGTAAACAGAAGGTACATAGTGAACACAGCAAGTATAACTATTCATTCAAAAAGGTTGACAGCAAAGGGAAGGCCAGAGGAAAAAGGAAGATGGCAATTTGAAGGTTAGAATAGGGGAGGTTTTAGGCTAGAATCTGAGCAAAAGCAGAGGCAAAGGCCCAGTGGAGGGAAAGAGGTAAATGATGCTAAAAGAGAGCCCTAGTCAATGATCCTTATTCTTTTTTTGTCACTTGGACCACTTGAGAACCTGATACATGATCTATATCCTCATGCTAGAAAATGCACAAATCCAATTTTGCATACAATTTTGGGAGGTCAAGGGCACTCCTGCGGATAATCTTGTGCATCACGTGGATCCTTGAGTCATAAGAACTCAAGAGCAACTGTCTTGCAGTCTTGGCAAAGTGGGTGGAGGTGACACAGAGACCACAGGGAGAGAGACTGGGTTTGGCACATGCTATGATGGCTAAAAATAAGGCACACAAAATGCAGTTATAGACGGCATAGAAGAGACAGATGCCATAAGGTATTTGGAAAGAAAAAAAATGGTAGAAGAATTAAAGATTTCCTTTGAAAGTTATTACTTTTTCATATGCACAGAAATAGTCATTGTAAAATGGATTTCTACAGAGACAAACTGTAAGCAACCTAAATCTCCAACAATAAGGCAATGGCTATGTAAATCATAGTATTTCCTTTAAACGGACCATGATAAAGCCATTTTAAGTTACAAGAATTGGATAATAACATTAGGCCATGTTTATAGCATACTGTTAAATTTCAAAAAAGAATGTAAGACAGAATTATTCTATGATTATAACTATGTAAAACATTTTTGTATATATATACATATATACATAACAAAAAAGGAAAGGAAAAATAAAATATGACTTTCCAGGATAGTAGAATCCTAAATGGCATTTTTTCTTGTTATCATCAAATAGCAATTTGTCTTATTTGTGACTTTTAAAAATTA